CTAGACAAATATTAAATATATGATCATTTTGCATCTTCAGGATGCTCAAAGAAATCGGCAATATCCAGGTGTGTCATGTCAGCATCATCATCATCATAAGCATTCTTTTGGTCGATAAAATTTGTCTCGACATCTTTGTCCTTCTTTTTCAATGATGCTTGATAGAGGTCAACAAGATGTTTAGCCGTACGACAGGTACGGGACCAGTGACCTTCCATACCACATCGGTAGCATTTTTCTTCATAAACTTTCTTTTCTCCTTTTTTCGGATCGTAGTCATTTTCTCTCTCTTGAGAAATATTTTGTTGCTTGCCACGGCTATAATTTTCACGAGACACAAATCTACTATGATCACGTCCACGGCCACGGCCACGTCCACGGCTTCTTCCACGGCCACCTCTACGGCCACGTCCACGACCTCGACCAGAATTTTGAAATTGAGTCACATTCGCTTCAGGGAATGGACTTGCACCAGTTGGTCGGGACTCATGATTTTTCAGCAGTAATTCATTATTTTGTTCAGCCAACAGAAGACATGCAATAAGTTCAGAATATTTTTTAAATCCTCTCTCTCTATATTGCTGCTGCAGGAGCATATTAGAGACATGAAAAGTAGAGAATGTTTCTCTAACATATTTTCATCAGTGATTTTTTCGCCACACAATGATAATTGAGAAGTAATTCTGAACATGGCTGAATTATATTCGTTGACAGATTTGAAATCTTGTAGTCGTAAGTGGAACCAATCATATCGGGCCTTTGGAAGAACGACCAACTTCAGGTGGTCGAATCTTTCTTTCAAATCTCGCCAAAGGACAAGAGGATCTTTGACAGTAAGATATTCTACTTTTAGTCCTTCATCTAAATGACGACGAAGGAAAATCATGGCCTTAACACGGTCTTGGTTTGAGGCATCATTCTCATCAACAATAGTATTACCAAGACCCATTGCCTCAAGATGAATTTCAACATCCAATACCCACGATAAATAATTTTTTCCAGAAATATCAAGAGGTACGAACTCTTGTTTTGTGAGATTAGCCATAAGACTATGCACTAGATTCGTAGGAAAGAATATTACCTCGATAAGTAGTCAAAAGTTATTCGGGCAGAACCTTGACAGCGTCTCGTGCTTTTCCTTCGCTCAAAGTAGAGACTCGTGCTTCTCCTTAACTCAAGGTAGAGACTCGTGCTGATAACGTGTTGTGAAACTAATAAAATAAACTCCCAAAGTAGGGATTGAAATAGTAGAGTGAGAGATAGAATATTATTATATTTTACTGATCAAAGTACTTCCAGGTTTCAATGTTACAAGGTTACAAAGGAAGTAGGATACACCCCTATATATAGGTGATCCAAGATCAAAGGTACATGAACCTTATTAAATACAAATACATGAATTTAGTACATCAAGTACATCCATAAATGAGTTCATCCAATATACCAATGAATCTAGGGAGAATACATGTGACTATCATCTTGAGAATGCAAACGGACATCTTCATCTTGTAATCCTTCTTGAGAATATCAACGGACAGCCACATCTAGAGAATATCAACGGACATCCACATCTTATCATTATTTCATAACAACCTAATTTTTATTTACTGAATCTTCAAAAAGGTGCTTTTTGAGTATGAAACCGTAATATATATGCTGCGAGGTTCAATATTTTGTGAATTTTGTATACTGATACCATTGTTCTTTTCGTTATTAAAACTGGCGTGCTTTTGTAGTAATTGCTAGTGACATTAATTTGCGAGCAAGGACGAATACTACAAACATTAATCTGTTTTTTTTTTTTTTTTTGGTCATCAATTTCTACTGATATCTTGCGCCTTTTGTTCAAATCTTTCGCTTTATTTGTTACCGTGTAAATGTATAAATAAAAAGAAATTCTAAAGCACTTTTTCACTAAACCGGGACACAAAGTTCTGTGGATTTACTTAATATACACTGTTAGGAGTTAGCAGAGGAAAACGTTCATAACTACTCCAAGATCAGGTGCATCTGCTAGAATAAAGGGCGAGATTATGAATCAAGGACATTCCTCCCTCCAAGATTCATCTTCATTCGTAGTATTGCATGCCATGCAATTCGTGATTTACTACGTTGCCTGAAGAACATTACTTAGTTATTAAAGTAGAAGGATTGCAAAAATCTGCTTCACGCATGTTGAGAGTCATTAATTCGACCCACGTCTCAACTCCCATTCATACAGCATTAGCTCTCTGTTCTACGATTCTTGGTTCTACATATATATATATCATGGTCAATTTCACAAGCAAACTATCCTATATAATATGCGCAATAACTAGTATATATTCTTGTGCACATGTCATATCTTCAGAATTGAAATTTCTCCGTACTTTTTGAGATTTATGTGATATAAAGTTATCGATCCTTATGCTTTAGTGGTACCTGAATTGTTTCCTTTGGGAATTGAACCCAAAGGAGTATCAGTTGTGACTGATTAAAATTAGTTTGTTAGATCATTCCAAGTAGGAGAAATGCACAGGATGCATTTGAGGGCTCAAACTATGGCATCCCTAAGAATGTTCCTTGTTGTTGGCATGATGATGATGATCATTATGCATAGCCCAATGGTGATTGTTGGAGACAAAATAGGCATCGGCGTTTGTTATGGAATGGTAGCCAACAATCTACCTTCTGCTACCGATGTGATTAGCCTTTACAAGAAATATAACATCGGCAAACTAAGGCTATTTGATCCAAATCCTGACGCTCTAGAAGCATTGAAGGGCAGTGGCATTGACGTCGCATTAGGGTTAAAGAATGAAGATATACCGAGTATAGCCACAAGTACTGAGGGAGCAGAATCGTGGTTTACAACAAATGTGCTGCCTTATCTCAGTAACATTACATTTTCATTCATTTCTGTTGGAAATGAAGCAATCCCAGGAGAGTTTGCCAACGATGTCGCCCCTGCCATGAGTAATCTTCAGGCTGTTCTGAATGACCACAATCTAAATGGTATAACCGTGACCACCGCGGTCGCTACGATGGTGTTGGGAGTTTCCTATCCTCCTTCAGCTGGTCAATTCTCACCTGAGACAAAGGGTGCACTTGCAGATGTGTTGAGCTTTCTATCAATCAAAGGGTCTCCATTGATGGCCAATGTGTACCCTTACTTCGCCTATGCATCGGATCCAGACCAAGTTCGCCTAGATTATGCTCTTTTCACTGCAAAAGATCCAGTGGTTGTTGATGGAAATCTGAGTTATCATAACTTATTTGATGCTACGGTAGATTCATTTTATTGGGCAATGGAGAAACAGGGAGTAAATAACGTAGGAGTGGCAGTTTCTGAGAGCGGATGGCCTTCTGCTGGGAATGGAGGTTTCACAACCCCAGAACTTGCATCTACATACAACAGGAACTTTATGCAGCATGTGTTGAATATGGGTGGCACACCTAAGAGGCCTGGGGCTTATATTGAAGGGTTTATCTTTGCCATGTTTAATGAAAATCAAAAGCCCTCTGGTATAGAGCAAAATTGGGGACTTTTTTATCCTAACATGCAACCTGTATATGCAGTTTTTTGACACAATTTGAAAGGCCTATCTTGCACTTAGGTCAAAGAGTTCTATACAAAAAGGAACTGCAAAAAAGAAAGAGTTATTCTGGATATTGGAATGGATGCACAACATTTTTTTTCTTGTTAAATTTGGGTTCAATAATCAACGACTCTATATTTTAAATTTCTATTGTATCTTAATTCAAGGCACTAGAAAATGTGAAATTTCACAAGCTCTTTAGTCCATGATACTTCAAGAACAACACATAAAGGATAACTGAAACTTGCTTCTTTCTGTGAACTATTTAGTTTTTAAAACTAATTATTGCATTGTTAGGTACATAGTAAAAGCCAGAGTAATCCATGTACTTACCATGCAACACATAGATTTGATGAAAAAAAGAAACACTACTAACTTCTCTGAAATACATGCAAAGCTACCTTTCTCGTTGTATATATATATATGACTAGGTGGTAACACCGCGCACAGCGCGGTGGTATACATGCCCAACGTAAGAGTTCATATAATCTACGTAAATTATTCAAGTTGACACTAAAGTTTGAGCATGCCCAAGATTTAATGGCATCGACAAATACTATATATAAAATGTTGACACTAAAGGTTGGAGTTTTCAAATGAAAAGAAAAGGTCAACCTGATTACAGTATACAAATGTTATGCATTAGATAAGTTTTAAGTTGCAATGGACCAATGATATGCCTTAGAAAGCAAGAACGTCTTATTTAGCAAGCCTCATAGAGTACATTGAAAAGAAACAAACAAATACATCGAAAATGCAATGCTTATATCAATTGGTAAAGAATAACAAACACAATCCGAGGAAGATATTTACTTAGATACATCAAAGTTGTTGTATTCCTTATTATGGAGTACAGTTAGAACATGTTATACCATGGGAATTGACCATCTACACCATCCTTATCAAAGGTGAGGAAAATGTAGGTGGAACTTCTTTTATCAGGAACGAAGACTAATGTTTCTCCAGGCTACAACTGATGCTCAATCAGAATGATATCCCAGCTATCTGCAAACTGCCTCCCACGCATTGCAATTGTCATTGTTTTCCTTCCAGTTCTCGAAGTAATTGAAGGCGTCAGGTCACTATGTATGAAGTATCCGACAAATCTTGGAACTTTCTGTTGTTGTTTAGACAAAATTATGAACGTGATATAATATGAATGGCTAGAACGAAATGAAAAATACCCCAAACTTACAAATTTATAGTTTTTTTGTTTGGTAACTACTTGATAGAAGCACACACCTTCAGGTAAGTTTTGAACAAAATCTGGTTGATCGATGACGATACTTGTGCCGTATTAATCTTTGTCTAGAGTTCACTAAAAGCAAATTATGTATACTTGAGATAAAAAACATATGGGGAAAAAAAAAATACCAAGTTCAAAACAAAATTGAGGACGAACTTTAAATCTGTTTTCCTTACTGTCTGCAGCTTTCCCTTATTGTGAACTGAATCAAGATTTAAAACAACTTTTCCCTTAGTGTATAATAAGCATATTCCCTTGTTGTATACAGGAATCAGTTTCACTAATTTTATCATTTAAACTGTGGTTAGCGCGATATTGTTTTCTTTCTGGAACTCTATAGTCATGTCTTCTCAATTCAGAATTTTTCTGACGCATCTTCATCTGAAGAAGGCATCACAGATAAAGTTCATTTCTTTCCATTCTCTATGTTTGCCCATATATGTAGTTCCACCAAATCTTAGGAAGCAGGAAAAAATTGAAATGCAAGACATGTAAACCACCCTGTAGGATAAACATGAAGTAGCATGCAGGATAAAAGAGAATCAGAAAAAATGTTTCACATCAACTATCACAGCTATAACATGTCACCGGAGAAAAAATAAGAAAGAAAAAAAGGAGGTAAAGAACGAATACCTGTTTTTTGAAGGAACAGTAGCAGTAGGCAAGAGGAGGCTGAGGATAATGTGAAGAGCAAGAAACCAAAGCAGCACAACACATGTAACAAAGAAGCTAAACATAGAACTGAACAATAAAAACGAAAAAAAAATGATGCAAAGTTAGTGATCCAAGACAAAATCTCCAAACTTGCACCTACATCAGATGAAAGCAAACTAATAAGAAACCTAAAAGGAAAAAAAGAAGAAAGAAAAAAGATGTTAAGAAAATAGGAGGTCAGCACTTAAATATTTGCATCTTTTGTTATTTTTGCCTGAAAAAATACCACTGTTTTAAATGTAGAAATCCCTTTCAAAGAGTAAAAGAGCTTTGACAGCTCAGAATGAAAAAGATCAAACAGCCAGTAAATTCTTCTGATGTCCCAGACCTGTGACAATGCTTCCTATTCAGCTGAAGGCATTTTCTTCAAAGCTAGTTCTGCAGCATCCTTAAGCTGCAATTTTTTAGTAGGTAAACCATTAGAAAATAAAATGATGGTTAGCAGTTCCATAATAGTACCATTAAAATGACGTACACTCAAATTTGCCTTGACACGATTCCACAACGGAGGTAAGTCAGCAGAGAGTTTTTTCGCACGATTCCTCTTTTTTAAGTCTTTGACCAAGCACATTGCAACCATTTCTCTAAAAGACTGTTCGAAATTGAGGAAATGCTTCAGCAATAAAAACCATAAGAATGAGGAAATGCAGAAGTAGAAACAAACAGAAAGAATATGGATCCAGCTTGGTGTCCTAGAGAAAGTTTATATCTAAGTAGACACAAACAGATTGAATGAGGAAATGCAGAAATTGAAACAAACAGATAGAATATGGATCGGATCCAACTTGGTGTGCTAGAGAAAGTTTATATCTAAGCAGGAACAATAAAAACCTAGTAGGTACAAAATATAAAGTAAATAACTATCTAAAAGCTAGCTAATCATCAATTATTCACTATCTTAGATCATATTAAAAGTTTTTCTTGGAACTAAAAATAAAAAATGAATGATAAAACTGAAATGAAACAAATACATTAATCACAGACAGAAAGGGGAAGAAAAATTACCATATCTGTATTCCACAAATTCGCATAGATAGTCGGGACGAAATATTGAACTTCCCTTTCTCGCTGTTTCTGAAAAAGACATGAAAGAGGAGGGAAAAATTGATTGTTTTCTGCCAAGAAGATGGCAAAAAAAATGGCAAAAAAATAGAAAAAATTAGCTATAATCACTCGAGGAAGGGAGGGAGGGAGATGAAGAAGAACAAGAGGGAGAACTGGGAGAAATCGATAGAGGGAGGGGGGGAAGGAGAGAAGCAAAGATTATGTATCATATATTCTTCAAATCCCAAGATGAAGTTATTAAAACAACCGATTTCCCCAGATTTGATTAACTGAGTAAAGTCATCAATTTTTTTCCATAGTTCCTTTATCTAGATTCAAACAACAGCAAGAGCCTGAAAGTAAGCAAATCTACTCGTAGAAACTCACCCTGTCACGCTTTCCTCTCAGGACAGCAGAGGGGAAGGGATGCCTCGCAGCATGACGAATAGGATTGAACCTTGAAGGGAAATAACCGAACTGAAAAAACATTGAACAAAAAAGTGTAGTACAACTAAGCATAAGATAAGCCCATTTTAACTCCCATTCACAAAGTCCCGAAGCCAAAAAAAAAAAAACTGAAGTGATTTTATTGTAAAGCAATTACACAACAAAGTTGGAAAAACGGAATGGGTACTACTTCTGGCATTTTTTCATTTTTCAAACTGTCCTCTATGCCTTGAGTCATGACAATATGTAATAAGATAGCTTTCTACTCAACTCTTATTTATCCACTAATTCTTCATAATCTATTTATTTCACACATAGAATTCCCTTTTTCACAGTACATAAAAATGAAGAGCATCGATCCATCGGTCGGTGACATCTACAAGTTTTCATATCAACCACCAAGTTTATATTCACAACCACCTCATGTCACAAAAATGGTATCTAATGAAAAGTTACTTTATACCAGCAACCGGTCATAGATAATTATATTTACTAAATCACATAAAAAGTAACCTTAAATGCTGACTTGAACCAGGAAACTAACTGGGATAAAGAACAAGTAGGATGTCCTCAAAATGAAGACCAAATTAAAGAACGAGGCATAATTTGCGGTTCATTATTACCAAAAGAGGGATCAGTACCTCTTCATCCCGGTGCATGAAGTTCATGAAATCATCATAGTGATTGTTGTGATGAGCACACTTGGGAGCATTTACTGGAAGCTGCATATAGTTCGGGCCAAGACGGTGACGCTGGGTATCACCATATGCGAATATGCGAGTCTGGAGCAGCTTGTCATCTGAATAATATATTCCAGGTACAACAAAGGCAGGGTTAAATGCAAGCTGCTCGGTCTCAGCAAAGTAGTTGTCAATAGTCTTGTTCAATACTTGGATGAATGGTCTTGACGGAGAGTATGCATCCTATTGCGAAATCTTCATTACTGTTACGAGCTTCCATGGATTTAGGCTTCTCTTCTTTTCATCGTGTATTTCACCTGATTTGAGTTTTTTGTAATGGAGCATCAGTTTCTGAAGAGAAAAGACAGAAGAGAGGGAAAAAATGGGGGAGAGAATGTACGGAAGCTCAAAAGATAAGACTAAAGCCATCGACCAAAAGAAAAATCGTGTGGTTTGGAAAAGGGAAAAGTACAAAAAAGGGAAAAGAAAATGAAGGACAAAGAAGATAGACCACAATCGGTGCTCTACAAAGGTACAACCACTCCCCTCAGCTCACCTGCTCTCTGACAACAAAGGAAGAAGCAAGAAACGAAGAGGAATAGAAGAGCAAAATTGAATGTGAAGTGAAGACGACCAAACTTGCCACCAATCTCCCAGTGAGGACGTCTGGAACTGAGATGGGTAGCGTTGCTGGAGCAGTTGCTCGTTTCAACAAAAGCTGCTAAGCAGACTGGATGTGACAAAACGTACATTAGCAACACACCCCTCAAAGGACAAAGGAACTCAAAAATACAACAAAAGATCGGGATGTAAATAGCTGAGATCAAAGGGCTAAAATTGTAATATCAACAAACCTCCGAGCCCAACAAAGAGAAGAAGACAAGACATTACGAAACAACCGCCTGACTGTTTGACCAGGAACCGGGCCACCACGTCAACAAATGGAAGGAAAGGCGCAGGGAAAAAGTTCAGACCAATCACATCGTGCCACATTATCAGAAAGCCAATCCACAGCCACCACGCGGAGGACGACCACGTCCACGTGCACACCGGGCTTCCGCCCTTAGTCTATATGATTAAAAAAGGATTTTTTTTTTTCTCAACGGATCTGATGGATGATAGTTGGTACAAGCAATGAATACTGGTACAGAAGGTACCAGGTGTTAAAATGAGTACATTGGCTATAAATAAATGAAGTTTAACAACCAATGCTCGTTGGTGTCGTTTTTTTTTTTTTTTTTGTCGACACAGAGGTGTGCGGGTCAATCCTTACGGGGCCCGACTAATCTCCTACGGTCCGGGCCCGGCGTCCCAACCCAGCCCGAACACGTTAAGTGCGCGGAGGAATCCAGCGGAGCGGAGACTCGAACTTGTGACCTCAAGATTCACTGGTGAGAGGCGCTGCCGCTGGACCGCTCGTTGGTGTCGTTGAATATATCTTTTATTATGGTACAATAGCTTTCTTGTATAATTGAGAGCTAGCAATAGAACCTTCTATTCTGCTTCCTCCAACTTAGCAATAGAAATTTTTCGTGCTAGTGCATCGCACATACATCTAGTATTCGATAAGATTTGGGCATCTTGTCACACTAATCTTTTATAGCAAGTAATACGCTTACTGTTTATTTTACAACCTTTACTTGTATGTGAGGCACAAGTCTTAAATCATATATAGGGCTTGTTTTTTATGATTATAAATTTTGATTATAATCCGTTTTGTGATATTTTTGATTAATTTTGTATTCTAATTATAAATTTTTTTAATGAACAAAAAAGATAATATCTATAATCACCCAAAAAAATGTTTTTACTGATTTTGATTATCTCCATAAGTAATTTTTATAATTAGACTTTAGAAATTTTAAAGCAACTGAGAACAAGGCCATAGTTGGTCCCTCTATCCGCCGGTAGTAGGGGTGTATTCAAGTCAAGTCGAGTTCAAGTATAGCAATATAATTATACTTGAGCTCAAGTTTGATCTCGATCGAGTCGGAAAATCTCAACTCGAGCTTGACTCGAGAAAATCCTTAAAAGCTCGAGACTCGACTCGATAAGGCTCGACCTTGAGTCAAGCCTTATCGAGTCAAGTAAACTGATCAATCGAGTTTTTTGATCAATTTTGTAAATTCAGTATAAATTATACCCATAACGGTCATTTTATAATTATAATACATATATATTATTTTAATTATACTACTCGACGAGTATCTCGTCAAACCCCGAGCTGCAAAAATTCGGGCTTGAACTCGACTTGAATGTATACTCGAGTAACTCAAGACTCTGCTCGAACTCGATTTGACCGAGTTCAAGTCAAGTTATTAACCGAGTTGCTCGCGAGCTACATGCATCCCTAGCCGGTAGTGCTCTCTTCAACAAACTTATGTGCTTAAGGAAAATCTAGGCATTGAGGCAATTGATTACAGGTCAGCAAACAAAAGTAAATTACTTGTCCAATTATAAGGGTTTTAATCGTTTATTCACTGATAGAAAAAAACAATCAATACCATCGTTTAACTTCATTCTACTCAATTATTTCTTTTGCCTCTCTGAGCTAAGCACGCCTATCATGTATCTCAAAACATGGCGTATTCCAAAACATGGAAATAATCGGTGCCTAAAGCATTGGTTTTCTTTTAAATTTTTTTTTAACGCATGATCAGCAACAGGGGCATAAACCAATCTAATCAAGTCGATTACCTTAATATTTAAATTTATATGATTATTTTAACAATTTTGAAATTATGTTCTTGTTTAGTTTGTTGATTTATGAAGTTGAATTCTAATGAACTTTTATTGAGTCTAGATCTAGATGAGGTCGAGTAGCTAGAATTTTTTGCTTATAAATTTTAATTTAATTTTGATCAAACCGAGTTTGAACCAAGTTTGAAACTTTATTTAATAGAAAATATTATTCAGGCTTGGCTGATGAACTAAGTTCTCTTAACAAATCTAATTCAATTTGAGTATCAAATGACTCAGTCGGTTTTTTCCCCTTAACCAGAAAAGCTGTTAATTGTTAAAAGATAAAAGCAAAAAAAAAAAAAAAAAGGATTGAAATTCCTACTTCCCCTGCAGTGGAGGCTGATAACCTCGCGCCTCGCGGTGCAGGGATCGTCCTTTGACGTGAGATCAATTATATTCCTCGACACCAATTTTTCATATTTCCGACGAAAAATGTTTGTTGGTCATTGACTCACAATGACCTAAAATGGAGGTTCCAAACATGTCCATTAATGATTTCCGTCTTTGTTCATTTATGCATGATATAGATCTCCATTCAGCTTACCATTTTACAAAATTTTGAATAAATGGAATCTTATTCTTTATTAGTTTCAAAATCTTGCTCTTTATGGAGGTTTCAAACTAGAGGTGGTAAAATGGTTAATTGGATCATTTTTGGATAAATCCTAAGTAGTTCATGAATTGAATAGATCCAATCTGCTTCTCTTTTATTGTATTGCCGTTCTTTTTTTTTGTTTTTTTTGGGGTTGGGGGTGGGGGGGAGGAGGACACAAGACGGATTAAAAATATAAATTTGTTATTTTTTTATTCGATCAAAAATAAAATAAAGTGGAGATATGAAAATGTTATGAGAATTCCTTCTAGATAATAGACGTCTATGTAAAGTTTCTGCTCAAGAGTTTACAGATACTCATAATTAATTGTTATAATTGAAATGGAGTCACCCCAATTAGTAGATGGATGCTAAAGATTTGGAATTTAATGGCTATTGATTACCCATTAAATCCATTTAATTTGATAGTTTCAACCCCTTTGATATGATATAATACTATCCTAGCCTCCCCCGCTGGCTGCTGCAGCCCATTGTTTTCGCTTTCCATTTTTTTCTTTTTAAAACACATCAGCTATTCCTTTTCTCTTTTTTTTTTCTTTTTAAAATTTTTTCCCTTGTAAAATAAATGAATATTACACTACTA